CCAGCACGCGGCCCCCCCCCGCCCCGCCCAGCCAGTGGCAGCGGCTGTAGCGCGTGTGCATGTAGGCTCCGGGCTCTCTAACCCTCCGCGACCGCCCGCTTTGGAGGAGCGAGTTCCTGCTTGTGTTAGCGCTTCCTGGCAGCTGTTTAGTGCTAGCGGGAAGGCCAATAGCCCATTCCCTAGCCCCGAAGTGCATGTCACATTTCTGTAGTAGCATTCCCACCAATTCAACAGTCAACTTGTGGAACTCCTTGCCAGAGGATGTTGTGAGGACCAGGACTTTAAGAGGGTTTAAAAAAAGAACTAGATAAATTCATGGAGCTGTCAGTGGCTATTAGCCAGGTAGGAATGGTGGCCTGATGGATGACAGGAAAGGGATCATGTGGTGATTATTAGGGATGTAATAATATAGTTGATTAACCCAGAGGTGGCCAACCCACAGCTCGTGAGGTGCACGTGGCTCTTCACCCCTGAAAGTGCGGCTTATGAAGCCGCCCCTCGCACCCTGTGCTCCCCGGGTGGAGGGGAATCATCTGGCATGGAAAAATGGTACCAACAAGATGGCGGTGGCTGATGGGAGCCTGATGTGGCCAAAAAGCCTGCCTGCAGTTTTTAAAGGGGCCTAACCTAGTATGGCCTTTCTTATGTTCTTAAACCCTGCATTGATTTGATTTCATTAACATTAGTTTACCTACATTTTTCTCTCTGCCCCAGAGCCCTCTTGGTTAGGTCTCAGTTGCAGCAGCAGATGGGAGTTCTGGACTTGTGCTGACAGGTAGAGCTGGTTGCAAACTGACAGAGTACAGATCCCTATGCAAATGTCTTCTGCATCTGCGGTTTTGAGGGATTTGTGTGCTTTGGGGAGGCCAACATACCTGCTGGCTTTGTTGAGGATTCACATGTATGTCTCTGATAGGATAATGTGGAGGACAACTAGCAAATGAGGGTTTCCTATCCCTTGCTTGAGAAATACCCATTTTGGTGAGGATATAGCCCAAAGTTTTATTTTTGTAAAGAAGTACCCACTTTGATAAATGAAGAACACTGACATAGCTACCAGTTCTGCAGTTTTGGCTATATTTAGAGTATAACTATTTGGCTGCATATTTTGGGCCTGCTCAGGCAGGATAGCTGCCTCTAAGGAGAAAGGGGAAAAATACTAGGAATTCATTTGATGCTGCAGTCTGTGGAAGTCACCTGAGCATGCTAAATTCCATCACATGACTTGCCTCCTTACTGCTTTGGCTGGTGGCAGAGTTTAGAATTACACATGTCAGTACTGTGGAAACAATTTTAATATCTCTGAAAGAGGGACAGCTGATGGGATAATAAGATTCAACCATCCCACTTTATTCCCTTTAGATGTTATTCCCTTTAGATGTTATTTTTCAGAACTGAAGTTGGAACAGTGTAATCTTCCATGCCTTGCTCACATTATAGTGCTTGCTATAGTGCCATTAGCAAGAGAGGGGGGCTAAATTGAATGTGATTATAGTCAACTAGCTCTTTTTGGTGACTATCATTCTGTCAGTGCCCTATGATAGACAGCCGGGGGTAGAGAGTAGGGATGTGAATGTTTAATTGGGTGAAGCTTACTGGTTAAGATTAAGTGGTGGGTGCTGGAGCAGCTCTCTGTGCCATGGGTGTGGGGGAAGGGATGCCATTGACAGGGGATGCTCCTATTGTCTGTGGCTGGTTTTCCTCATGGGCTGCTCTGGTCGGGTTGGAGTAGTCCCTGCCTGTGGTAGGGGTCACCCACTTCCCGTTTAATCAATTAAATAATATGCTTGACAAGTTAACCAATATGTTTAACCGGTTAACCAATTAAACAGGATTTTTCATCCCTAGTGGTAGCAAAGGAAATAGTATTCCCACTAGGGCTATGTCTACCCTGGCGGGTTGTTGCACCAGAAGTATGCAAATGAGGCTAAGGGTGGAATATCGCCGAGCCTCATTTGCATAGCGGCATTGCGCAAGAGGGTTTTTCTTGCCAAGAAGGGGCAGTGTAGACAGCTCTTTCTAGCGGAAGAGCCTCTTCCACAAAAATGGTGGCTCATTAGGTATGCAAATGAGTCTCAGCGATAATCCATGCTTAGCCTCATTTGCATACTTCTGGCGCAACAACCCACCAGTGAAGACATAGCCTAGGGATGTAAGAGTTAACTGATAAGCATCAATTTATCAGTTTCTGTTCTGGTTAAACTCTGCCCTGCAGGTGCAGCTTTCTTATAGAATAAGCTGGTTCCTGGTGTGCACCAGAGCTGTGCTGTGGGCTCTGCAGCATAAGCCTTATATTGCAGAGCCAACAGCATGGGGCACCCCATCACCATCCTTCCCTCCCTAGTCCCACCCAGCCATACATCCCCAAAAGTACTAGGATTTTTGATGGTTACATGGTTTCTGTTTTTAAAGCTTTTTTAATGTTCTTAATTCCCACCTGCTCTAATCAGAGTGTTCAGACACTGCGTGTAGTCCAGACTTACATATAAAACTCACCTCAGGAAGTGGTTAACTAAATATAACCCCAGTTTTTCCCTCTCAGCTTGACTGTTGCAAGGACTCTTGTTGGACCTTCTTGGTTCATGTCCCTTCTTCTGTTGTGGTTGGAGATAATTGAATATGCACGGATTGCATGTACCTTTGTTGTTAGTGAGCACCTGACAATGGGATGTATCTGAAGATCCTTTTTTGCTCTGTGTAAGGCACAGAGTATGCCCTTCTATTACAGAAAGTTGTCTGTCATGGTTGGGTCAGCATAGCTCAGGACTTATCTTCACCACGTGGTAAATCAAGGCAGCAGCGATCGATCCAGCAGCGGTCAATTTAATCGCGTCTACTTAGATGTGATAAATCCATCTCCGAGAGCTCTCCCGTTGACGCCAGCGTTCCACCAGGATGAGAAGACTAGCTGGAGTTCATGGGAGAGCTGCCCCCACCAGCTTTCCTGCACACTGTGGTAAGTATGTCAACTTCAGCTATTGCATAGCTCAGTGTTTCTCAACCAGTGGTATGAGTACCCTTACAGGTACTCAAGAGAAGTCTGGAGGGTACGTCAACTCAACTGAAATTTGGAGAAAACTTAATTTTTGTTTTAAGTTTTACAGCATTTTATTATTTTTATATTTTTTACACCCAAAATTTCATTGCCCACCCAGCTACGATTAAGTTGTTTAAACAAATGTATTGCAATTGTAGAAAAAAAATTGTGTGCCTGAAAACTGTGGGTACTTATAATTTTTTTTTAAAGGGGTACTTTATTAAAAAAAAAAAGGTTGAGAAACACTGGAGTAGCTGAAGTTTTGTAGGTTAGACAAGGCTTCTGAAAAAATCCCTATTGATATTGCTCTGGAAAAATCATACTGGTATCAGCAGGCTTTCTGTGTGTTTATAGCTAGCATAGTTCTGATCTGTGTGTGAACAGAGCTTTCATCTAGAGAAACAGCTGATGGGTTTAACCTGATAAGAAATGTTTATAGTCTGATCTTCAGAACTGTTTCTAGGATTTTTAGATTAGGAAAGGGAAATATGGGTTCTTAACATGTCAGAAAATCAGACCAGTAGGTTTTTTTTAATTAGCTCTCCATAATTTAAGTATAATTAACACTTTAAAAGAGTGTGAAGTACTAAGCAAAGAGCTCTGGGTTGCAATACTAAAGCTGTGTACTGACCTGGATTTTGTTTTTCAGAATGATAATAAATGAAGAGAGAGGCAATGTGGTTGAGGAAACAACAAAGAAAAAGAAAAAAGTGAAGAGCACTGGATGCCAAACTGTCATCAAAATTGAAGACGATCTCCAATCTGACACAGAAGCAAAAACTAAGGTGAAGAAGAAGAAATGCCTAACAGAAGCGGATTTAGTTGTGTTAAAGCTTAGTAAAAAGGAAAAGGAAGTCAGCTCCAAATTACAGAAAAGAGCGTGTTCTGATAACCCCATGAGCATAGAAAGTGATTCAGAGTCTGAACCAGTAAAAGAAATAAAGGAGAAATCTAAAGTTTTCAAAAATAAGTCAAAAAAAAGCCATGGTCTTTCCTTGTTACCATTGGAGAATAATCAAGACAGTGATCAGTACCTTCCAAAGAAATGCACAACTCAGTCTCAGGAAAATACAGTCATTGGTAAAAAACACAGAGAGAATATCACCCTTAATTTTGAAGGTGACAGTGAAGTAACCAAGAAGAAAAAGAAGAAAAAAAAGAAAGAGGAGGGAGATGTTTCTTCCTTAACGGTGATAGAAATTCAAGACAGTGATCCTGACATTTCTAATAAAAGTCTTAAAAAAATAAATAAAACCACTTTACAGGCAAAAACACTTGCTGGTAAAAAACAGAGAAAGGATTCAGACGAAAATGATATAATGAAGAAGGAAAAAAAGAAAAACAAACATGACTCCTTAACACTAGCAGGTAATCAGGGAAACAATCAGAGTGTTTCTGATGAGAATCTTTCAACAAGTGACTTACGAAAGTTTCAAGAAACCAATTCCCAAGAAAACACATTCATAAGAAAAAAACAAAAAAAGAATATTGTCCAGAACGTTGAAAGTGACATAGAAGTAACTAAGAGGAAAAAGAAAAGAAAAGATTTTACCTCCTTGACATGTGAGGATAATCAGGACCCTAGTCATAGAGTTTCTAATAAAAGTCTTCCTAAAAAACAAGAAGCCAATGAAAAAGAATTTGTTGGTAAAAAACACAGAGAGAATTTTGAAGATGTCTGTAAAGTAACCAAGAAGAAAAAGAAAATGATGCAGAAGGAAGAGGAGGATGTAATGGAGTCTGTAAAACTTATGGATGAAGATGGGAAAATATCTAAAGATGAAAAGATCACACCAATTAAAAATAATAAAAAGAAAAAGAAATCCAAACCAATGGAAGACCTTGCAGTAGATAATGTAAATGGGGACCTTTGTGAAAATAATGTACACTGTGACAATAAGAGTAAGAAAAGAAATAAACAGGGAGCACAGGAATATGCTGAAGAGCCAAGACTGAAAAAGAAAAAGGTCACAAAAACAGAAAATGAGGCAATGGTAAGCTCTAAATATAATCATTTTTCCATCTTCCCACTGAGAAACTCAAAGCTTTTCATGTACACGTGAAGAGTCCAATCTTGCAAGCTGTTCCAGATGAATGTACTGTGCATGGCCACATTTACATCATTGGGGCTGGCTCAGGCTGAGGAACAGCCTGCAGGATCATAGTTGAATGATTTAAGCCTCTCAACAGTCCTGAGAGTCAAAGAAGAATTTTTAATGCCTATTGCAATAGCCATTTAGTGCTTTGATTATAAAAATGTAAAGTGCAGAAAATTACTTAAGTCACCATCCAGAGGAGTTGACACACAACCAAAAGCTGTGTCTGCTCTGAACTCTCATGTCCATTTCACTGTTGATCTTGTGATAGCAATAGTAGCAGCACTGATGTAGAGTGAAGTACCAGTCTTTATCACTGTGCCATCTACACTTGTGTCTACATGATATGATGGTAAAATGCTAGTGTCCACCAGCATCTTGTTTGTGCTGGGCATTTTTCCCCCCATAAGGTTTTCCTATTGTTGCTGTGGCTGGAGGATCTGCTTATACTAATGGTAGCAACTGTGGGAGAATTTTAAGAGGAAAAATACCTAATGTGGACAGGGCCTTCCCAAATGTGTGCAAGATCTCAAATATAGATCTTCAAACCCTGGTAGACCAAACGTTAGACAGGATGCAATCTAAATCAAAACTCACTTGTTAATTAAACACAATAAACCCTAAATCAAAATGATCCAATGAAAGCTAAATGAAATAAATGAGCATTTATGACCTAGATAAACAAAAACTGCATGGCTATATCTAAACTCGTGGCTTCTTGCATCAGAAGTATGCAAATGAGGCTAAGCGTGGAATATCGCCAAGCCTCATTTGCATACCTGATGAGCAGCCATTTTTGCAAAAGAGGCTCTCGTGCCAGAAGGAGCTGTCTACACTGCCCCTTCTTGCGCAACAAAAACCCTCTTGCACAACGCCGTTACGCCAATTATTTTCAGGAGGGCTTTTCTTGCGCAAGAAAGGGAAGTGTAGATAGCTCCTTCTGGTGCAAGAACCTCTTCTGCAAAAATGGTGGCTCATTAGGTATGCAAATGAGGCTCGACAATATTTCACGCTTACCCTCATTTGCATATTTCTGACGCAAGAAGCCGTGAGTGTAGACATAGCCCAGAAGTCTGTGATCTGATTGACTATTTTTTATGGAAACCCCATTAGAGATTTTTAAAACTGGTGCCAGTTGAATAGCCAAATGAACTTGCTGTGGGTGTAGAACATACGTGAACAAATGGTCTTTGGACTGGGATGAATGGAAACACTTATCTGGTATGCTTCTAAAAACAATCTTCAAGCATTTTAAAACAATTTTTTTCCTCCAAAGTTTTTCAAAATGTTCAACTCTTATTTAACAGTAACAATAGTGAGTGATCATTTTATCAGTTTGTCTCCTTACCCCATATAGGCATGGGGTTGAGAACCCCGAAGTCCACAGGAGCTGCATGTGCTCACCATCTCTAAAACTCAGACCCTAGGTGACAATATTACTGTATGACACTGCCATCCCACAGAGCATTTATCTAAAGCTTTACAGAGTTTTACATACATTATGTCTTAATGACCCTGAAAAGTAATTACTACTCCAACTGCTTTACAGCAGGGAAAACTTAAGCACAGATAAGATACTGCATACCCACAGCCACACTGTGAGTCAGTGGCAAAGCAGGGACTATAACTCATTGACTCCTTAGTTTGTGCTGTAACCGCTAATTCTCATTACACCACTTAAACCTGCAAAACTGGCATCCTTCCTGGCGCAGGGTTAGCTCTGCCACTGTGTAGTTAATGCTCAGCATGCTCCAGCAATTTTGGGGAGAGCAGCAGAGTTACTTCCCCAGATTTTTTTTAAACATTGTCTATATGTTAGATAGGGATGTTAAAATTAATCATCTACTAATCGAATAGTCGATAAGGGGCTTCCACTTTGAAATGTATCAAAACCCCTCACCCCCTGGGTGTTGCTACATTTCAAAGGCGGAAGTGCCATGCCATGTTCCACCTTTGAAATGTACAAAAGCCCCAATAGGGGCTCTTGTGCATTTCAAAGATTGAAGCGCTGCCTGGGGCCGGCCCTAGGCTCCAAGAAATGTACAAGAGCCCCAGCGGAGACTCATGTGCATTTCTGGACTCTTGTACATTTCAAAGATGGAATGCCACCGCTGCCTCCCTGCCCCCCCCCCCCATGGAGCTAGGGAGAACCAGCTTTTAAGCTGGCTCCCCCCAGCACCGTACACTCCCCCCTTTGCTGCCTCTTTCTGATAGAGGCAACAAGAATGGGGGAAGTGACTAATCGATTAGTTGCTTACATCCCTAATGCTAGATTCCTGATGGACTCTGGGGTTGCTTTGGACACTCCATTTAAATCACTTCTAAGACAAAAGCACACATTAGTGAACCTGGTGTATTCTGCTTTGGTGTATCCCCACATATAAATATATGTGTTCGGTGGAATCCTGCAGAGCCTTCTAAGGCTCAGTTCTTTTAATCATATGTAGAGTCTGGCATACAAGTGGAATCTTCAGCTTACGTGGCAGCATGAAAATGGGTTTTTGGGTTACATGGGTATGTGTGTGAGTACATGTACACGTACCATTGCTAGTAGGACAGTTGTGGCTATAGCCTTTTTCACTTTTTTTTTCCCCCTCCTTTTGACCTTTAGAAGGGTAGGATGGTTTTATTACTGTGATAAATTTTCTAATTAAATTGGCATTGTCCCAAAGAGACAGTTAGATGTTATTTGTGTTTATGCAGCTGCTCACACGTGTGCACAGGGAAGATAAGTCTTGCAGTGACAAATGCAGGAGCATGATGATACTGAAAAATGAAGATGGAAGGCACCGCAAAGTGCCTTCCAAACAACTGACGAAATGGGGGAGGGGGTCATGTTGTCTCTTACTATTCATGTTCTGTCCTTTACCTGAAAGAAATTTCTCAAAGTTTAAAAATCAAGGTAGTGCTGATTTGAAGAAATTTGGTTATTGTTACACTGCTGTTATAGATGATGGTGGTGTTTGCTTGTTCCTTGTATAACTGCATTATAATTCTGAACCAGCTTCTAATCTCTAATGCATGTCACACACCACTGCATCTCTCAGAAAATCCACTGCTTTGCTTGTTCAGCAAGCCCCATAGCAAATTTTTTGAAGACTGTACACAGCCATAATCAAGTTGTAACTAAGAATATTAAGGAACGAATATTTTGCTAATCATGTAGTCAATACTGCTTGTATCAATTACACACTTATTCAGTAAGGGGAGGCAGTCTGCAGAGCCGCAACAGGTATCTCCCAGAGCTTGCACGAGCAGGGACTGAGTGGCTTGGGGACCTCTGT